AGGAGCCCTGCTGGTAGAAGCTGTCTTGCCCCCATCTCCCATGGATGGGGAGAAGTCTCCGTTCCTCTTAGCCTCTGTCCCATGTGGCACTGGATGGAGGTCTCATTGATGGAAGCCCACAGTGAAGTTTGGCCAAAGCTGAGGACAGGGAGCATGGGAAACTGTTGTGTCTGTCTTCTGTTTGCTGGTGCAGCTCCTGAACGTGACCCCGTGCTCTTGAATTGCCCAGAGTGGTGAAGGGCTCGGCTGAAGAGGCACTGATTTGTGGGACTGGTCTGGTAGGTTGGTTCAATGAGACCTGTTCCCTGGCACTGACGACTGCCTTTGCTCTGGGAAGGACACCACCCAGGACCAGGCTGCCAGGGACCTACTAAGTTGCCAAGATGTCTTTCTCAGAGATTTCCCAGCTCTCAGAAGATGAGGCGTAGTTCAGCCAAATCAGGAAGAATGAGGTCTTTCTTCCTCTGCTCATTAGCAGAGTTACCTGGACTAGCAGCTCTTCAACCCTCTTTGAATCTATTTTTTCATTTTCTTCCCAAAGGGCTGAGCAAAGTTATTCAGAAGCTGTCAGTAACACCATAGACTGGTCCCCTCTGTGCTGGACTGTTGTTTTCATGATTTGCATTTCTAGATGCACAATAATACAGTTGTGCATGGTTTTGTTTGCCATGGCTCAGTTTAGCACCCAGCAGCCTTTACAAAGCACATGAGCCGGCTTATTACAGGATGTGGAATCTGTCCTCCTTGTCTTTGAGAAGTACAAAGACAAGCTGGTGGCTATTGGCGAGGTAACCTGCTCTGATTTCTGCATAACTGGAGTTTGCTTGATTTGACTATATGCAAACTGTGTTAAGGTGTGTGTAACTCATTGTAATTGCTGGCTGCTCACATTCCTCTGCATGGATAGATGTGAAATGAGTTGGGCTTAAACCCCAAACCTTTATTTTCATGGCTAAAGATTCATGCAGGACAAAAATGAAAATTGAAAAATCCCACAAGGAAGGTGTATTGACAGATATCTGAAACGTTTGTTTCCTGCAATGAAGATATTGTAGGGAAGCTAGGGAAGATATTTTAGATCTTTACCAGGAGTATTTTCATAGCTGACATCACGTTTTCTTGATTTTCATTCTTCACGTGTTACTACGTTTCCAGGTATGTTGCCTTTTGGAAGGTGCTGTTTTCTGCTCTATTTCTTCATTACTAAGAGCTTCTGCCACTATCCTGAGAAAATTAAGCTAGTAAAGTCATTAGTTCCCCACAGCTTGAAGTTCATCGTGTTTTGTGAAGTCTTCAGTGGCTCTTTGTGTGGGTTGGGCTGGACTTCACTCCAGGGCTCATGTCCACACCTCAGCAACACGAGGAGCAGCAAAGAGTCCTTGCACTGCAGCTGGCCACAGCAAAACCACTGGACTTGCTGATGTGAGCCAGAAACCTTTCACACAGTGTCTCCTTCGTGCACTGGACTTTAACTAGGCTCGACACCTGTTTCCTGCATC